TATATAGTACATTCCCTTATTCCCTTCTAAAGCACAGTAAGCAAGAGGCCTTAGCAGCCTGGAGAGAGCAGCGGCTCTTCTTGCTGAAGCGGATGCTAGGCAGGAACAGGCTTCTTAGGTTATGGCTCTAGGTATATAGGAATCTAAGTTGAGGGACACCACCTGTCAAGCCCTTTGCTGTGCCACGATAAGAATCCCACAAGCCTCTGACACCCAGAAATTTCGTAAACGCTAACCCCTAAACCGTGTTGTTGTCTCGAAGCCGAAACATACCATACCAACCCCGACCCCGACCCCGCCTAAGAACAAGACTTGTGTGCACCCACCAAGGATTATCTGCGCGTCACGAAGGCCGGGCGGCTGTTACCCTTTCACAAGCTCCGCCAAGAGCTCATCCGCCTGTTGCTTTGCATTTGCATGATAAGGAAATCATTATCTGCAACTGGTTTCGGGTGCCGATCGTATTTCTCAATCTTCCCTGGCACCACTGCCTTGCACCCTTAATCCTGCTGACTACCAGCGAGTGTTTGGCTGCGACCACGCCCACCACCAAGCCCTAGAGTTCAACAAGGCAAGCTTTCAAAGCTCGCGTGTGGTTCTACAACTACGGGGCCCATATTCTAGACCAATATATTTTTGACATCCTTACTAAAGGGACCCGCCAAAATGGGACCCTCGATTTTTGGAAACCATCATATGGTTGAGAATCTGGCGACATGCCGCGGGCCTCACCCTTCGCATGCTAATCCAGCCCTTCTCAGCCTTCAGCCTGGACCCCCTACAACCTGGAAACCCCACAAGCGACCACTCGAACGCCCGAAACATCCTGAATTGCCAAAACCTCCAAAGCCGCCCCAAACCGCCTGAAAAAGGAGAAGAAAAAAACGACGAACCCTAAACTTACAGCTCGCCGCAGGCATGGGGTATCCCCAAGCAGGGTGGGGCCATGGGCCCCGCACGAACTGAGATGATGAGCCTGCTGGACCGCGGCCAAAGGCTCCTTGGGGTTTCTTCTATTCCGTGAACTTAGGCCTCTGTGATAGTCATAAAACACGATATCTACATATCTGTAAAGAATATATATGATACTCTACGGGGTCCGGACTTTGGGGGGGTTGGGTTCGCCGATCCTCTCATCAGTATTGTCCATAGATAATAATACGCAACATCATCCTGACATTCCACTCCATTCTTCACTGCTAGCCGCCACAGTCAGCTTCCGCTGTTTTAGTCACAAAGTCCTACGTGTTCTGCAAGGCATCGGTTGCTAGACTTCACCAAGTTCAGGTTCAGGTTTTGGCCTCCGGCTCAAGGTCTGTTGTTATGTTGCGGCTTTAAGGTTAGGGGTTGACGATTTGGTGGTTCGAGATCTTTGGCCCCGGTGCAAGAAATCCTGTATCAACCACCCAAGTAACTAGAACTACAGGACAGCTTTTATTACTATATAACCCTCATATAACCCCTATATATCACCCCTATATAACCCCAACATAACCCCTGTATAGCCCCAATACGCATAAACATGCTGTAATCGTGTGCAGCCTGCCTGTTTGAGCGGATTGTGTATCTAGGGGTTATAGTGGGGTTATATTGGGATAATGGAAAAGAAAATGGAAACTACTATCATGGGTTATATAGGGGTTATATTGGGAAGGAAGAAATTGTCTTCGGAGACAAGGGCTTCTGGGTTTGGGTCAACGAAGCTTTTAGGTACCAAAGTATCCATGACAGGTGATGACGCCATACCATGGAGTCCCCAGAATCTTTGGTTTAGGGTTTAGGGTTTAGGGATCGCTTCCGAAGTTTCCCGAGCTTATGCCTGCATGCATCTGAAGAGGGACCATGATAATTGTATCAGAATGGTTCCCAGAGCAGTTCTTCTTTAGGAGAGTCCCATAGGATTCCATGAACGACTCCTGGGTGTCGGCATGCTTTTAAGGAGTGGTAGAGTAATCCAGTCCCCAGTTCCCCAACGTAGGAACCCCAATATATCGTGGAACTTCTATAACATTATGGGGTGGGGTGTGTTCAATGTTTAAAGGGAAACGCTCATTTAGAGTGTTGTAGAATGTCTGTCTGGCTTAGCGAAGCTCCAGGGCATTGGTTTCATAGAAGCTGAGTTTGTCAATTCAGGCGGGCTCTTGAGTGTAATGCAATCTTTTCATTCTCATACGTTGTTGTGATGGGATTTGATTTTTCCAAGGGCAGGGGCCGCCAAAGCCTCCGTGGGGTTTCTCAGGCTCCGCTGCAGAATGTTGCAGGTCTTGGGAGGCTGCCCAACAACCCTGTATTACATTACAGTAATGCAGACGCCTGAATCAGTGCCAACATCATTCCTTCACCATCTCTATACAGTTATTATATAGAATGTCCCAAAACCCTATTCCAATTCTTGAGGCCTCAACATACTCTAAGACCGACAGTGGCCTAGGTTCTTACAGCAGGCCTACAAGCATGCGAAGGCACCGGCTTGGTTCAACCTCCGGTTTGGGAATTCTATTCCAGATGGCAAAGGGCGGGGAGTGGCCCAGGATGTAGCTGATGCAGACTTCTGGGGGTTCTCAAGGGGCCACCGAATCCTATGCTATACACGCGGGTGAGTTGGACAATGAGGCCTAAAGCCTGCACAGATGGCAAAGTCACATTAAAGTCCGCATGCGTGATTGGACGAAATTTGCTGCTGTGTGCAGCACTGCAAGTAAAACAGCGCGGTCTATGCAAGGTTGATGTGATTTTGGTTTTGAATTGTAGGCTCGGAAGGCCCGAGGCTTCTGCAACCAACGGTGGCCTAACTTAAGGGGCCTTCCTCAGCTTAGTTTGTGGAACTACTCTACAGCAATTCAATGCATCGCTTCTAGACCCGCCAGGCTTTATGGCCATAAAGCCCTCACCAAACATCCTACGCTATCATTCACAAAGTCTGACTCATAACGACCTGCAATTCAAGGTTCAGGTAAGGGCTTTTGCCTTGGGACAGCCCTCTCCCACGCTGACATGAAACGTCGTGTAGCTGCCTGCTCTTTCTTAGGAAATTCGTCTCAAGAGGGCCCCTTCGGGAGGGTTGCACCCGAAACCGTTACCCACGGTCACGTGGAGGCCAGTGCGCCGCCATCCTGGACCGGTCTTTATGGCTTGCTCATGATGGTTGCTCAGATTGAGGTGCCTTTGTCATTAGCATTGTGAGGCTGTACCCTAAATTCGTGAACGCTTGAGCCTTGAACTCCTAAACCCTCAAACCTCCAAAGCTCTCAAATCCCCAGACCCTATGCCCTACACCCTAAACTTGCCAAGGTTCCCCGCAGCCTAAACAAATCTGTACCGCGACAAGAAGCATAGTTGCTGTTGCTAGCACTATCGGACACTGATTGCCGTCGTACTGCTGCCGCCGCCGTTGCTGCGTCGGTGACCCTCACAATGATGATGACAATCGTTGAACTTGTTGCATGTCGGACAGTATTGTGCGCAGAAGTAGTGCTCTCTGATGATTTCGTTCGATCGTCGGGACACTCAAGAGAACACTTCTGGTCTAATGCCGACTAGGCAGCTAACCACTGTAAAGGTGAGCGTGGCTTCTGCTTCCTGTCCTAAATGAGGTGCCAATCTTTGAGATTCTAGACCGTCTCGACCGGCAAGTGGTTGAGCCAATTCACATGGCGGAGTCTCGCTTGCTATCCACAAGTTCAGGGATTTTTCGCAGCTCAGGGTGAAAGCTTGGAGAGTGCGACAAAGGGGGGGTTTCTTAGAAATACTTGGAGAGTCCCGGCGAACTGCTACCCAAGAACCGGTGGCAGTCTGTTTGCCTCTGGGATTCTACGTAGGACCTCGGCAACCTGCACGGGCATCATCTAACAAGTAGGATTCAGGGTTTAGGAATTTGCCCGACAATTTGGGCCAGACCCCAGGTCTAGCTAATAAGAGCAGATCACCTGCCTACCATCTCGACCCTGAAGTGCTAACAGCCTTGGAAAAAATGCCCCCGCGAACAAGTCTTGACGCATCTCGCATGATCCCTAGATAGCCCCGCAATGGTGACTTCTCAGAATTAGACCACTGCTTTACCCTCGAAGTGATAAGACACCCTTTTGTATCGGGGCAACTTAAACTCACGCATAATTTCCAGAAACTCGCAAGTCACCCCATTGATGAAGCCCAGGACTCCGTCACACACCCTGAAACTGCATTCTTCGTACATCTGCTTCCCACACGCAACGTGGAGTCCAACCACGTTCGCTCGGTGCTGGAGCTACACTGCGACGCTCGCCAGCGGGTTACTTCGAAAGGTGATTTGCAAAGATGGGTTCCTGTCCTCGGGCCCTTCTAGGCGGGATGATGTTCAAGGGACCTGTTGTATGACATTTTCGGCAAAGGCACGTAAGCAGCAGGTTGAAATCCAACTTGCATCTCGAAGTGCAAGCTCCTGTTCGCATTTTTGCTGTGCCTGCTGGTTTGATTTTTTCCTTCAATGGGTTATCCAAGTTACGTCGACGAAGCCCAGCCTCGGCTTCTGCATAGAAGTCAAAGGCCGCCAAAAAAGGGACGATATAGATCCACAAATTCTAATCCTTCTTAGAGATCGCCCCAAAAAGGTACCCTAATTTTGAGAAACCCCTAAATGATCTATTCCCAAAGCTCCGTCGCCAAATGCAGCTGAGATCCAGAGGCGCTTCATGAACTCTACGTCTACGTGGGAGGTTGTCAAAAATTTGGTCTGTTTCCGGATCCCCACTACAGTGCGGCACCTCATGTTCAGGTATCCAAATTCGGACCATACATCTGACAACCGTCCAAATCTTCATAACACGAGCGAAGTGTGCGCTTAGTCCAAGGATGTCCAAGGCCCAGCGTTTCGAATGGATGGAGAGTCAGAATGTGATCTGGAATCCAATCCCAAATCTTGAATTGGGCTATGGGCTTCGGTTTCATGACGACTGAATCTCCCGACCTATCTACAGTGGTATGGTAGGTCTGCGCTGCCGCCGCTGCCTTGCCCCCTTCTCCTCCTTCTCTTATTCAGTTAGTCTCCCTTTGCATGGCAATTTCCATTTTATTTTCCATTCTCCCAATATAACCCTTACATGACCCTACATACCCCTTTAAAGGGACCTAGGGTTTCCATCTTCTGTTTCCACTGTGTCCACCTCCCAGGACCTGGCCTACAAGAAGCTCGTGGAGGGCCGCGCGTCGCAGGAGCGACCTCTCAATGTCGTTGAGGTTGGCTCTCACCTTGGAGGCCCGTGGTAGCTTTGGGGGGAGTTTCCCAAAATTAGGGGTACCTTTAAAACGGGTTATAGGGGATATATAGGGGTTATATGGGGATTATATGAGGATTTTAAGGTTTAGGGTTTCCCACAATTAGGGGTACCTACTATAGTGGAGAATCAAATGGAAAAGAAAATGGAAAATGAAATGGAAACTGGGATATATAGGGGATTATAGGGGTTAGGGTATGTTAGGGTTTCTGAAAATTAGGGGTACCATTTTGGGGGTCCCTATAATAAGGACTATAGCATTTTGAGATTATAATTATTGGGGTCCCCCTATTTTAGGAAACTACGCTCTGGGGGTTTAGGGTCTAGGTTTAGGGTCTAGGGTTTGGAGGTTTAGGGTTCAGGAGGGCTTCGCCCCGGCCATCATCACTGGGAGGTTCGTGAGACTTGGGAACTATTTTTGCTTAGGCTCATACCTGGCCTTACTCATAATCCCCTTAACTGGACTTACAGTTTTCGTTATTCCAGGCATCAGCTGGCTATTCCCCCAAGTAGAAAAGTTATCTAGTCGCATGAGGCCCGTGTAGCTCAGGTGTACTGAGCCCGTATTGGATACACGCAAGCATTTTAGATTTCCCCGTGTTATTCCAGGATATTGATGTAAGAGTTTTCATCCTGTTGGCTTCCATCGAAGGCTTTGACTATGAGAAGTGCTCAGAGACCTCAGTGATCCTCTATCTAGACTATCCTTCATGTTTTGTGGTGGCTGGCACTTGTGGTCTGTCGTTGCTCTTTATTTACTCGCTGGAACGAACAGCAATGGAAGCGGTAGAAGATGCTGCCGTTGGGTGTGTGGAGATGGCAGGAAGAACTGTAATAGCAGTACCAGACGGGACGAGGAGCAGCAGAAGCAGCTACTGTTAATTTTGATAAGGTGTCTTCAGGGTGAGAGCGCTGCCTTGACGCTGTTCGGTCAGACACGCTACTTTTAGGCAGCATGCAAAATCCAAATTCCTCTCACATGTCCGGTATTGCTGAACATGTGACTGTCCCGCGCTGGTTCTCTGTCCTTTGTTGGGCAAATGTGCTCTTATTCGCTATGCATACTGGCTGTGCCAGAAAATTGAAACGCCCATCCACTCGCGGTTTACGGCTTCATGCCACAAGACATGAGTACTGCGGTGAGCTTATTCGCCAGTTTGACAGAGGCATCACCGATTTCCAGTATTTCTGCCTTTCGAAGCATGTCTTCCCTACCTTGCACGAAGTGAAATTTCTGTAGTTCACCGCGCCCCCACAGCGGGCAGGCTGCATCCTCCACGCACTCACTCATTCACATGAAAAGTCAGGGACTGAGCAGGGCCGTGATTTGCTCAAGAATTTTCTGGAGGCTTCTGGACTTGGGATCAAGGTATTCGTTAGGTGGACCCCTCACCCTGTAATGGTCACTATAAAGAATAATGGTGTGTATCTTTCGGTCTTCTTATATTCCTAGTATAGCACTAATTGTTACAGGGTGAGGGGTCCGCCTAAGGTATTCGTTTTGCTGAGGTGCTCACTGGAATTATCGTTAGATTCAATTACCTCCAATGTTCATCTCGTTCTTCATGTTACTTTCCCATTTGCCTTACCATTACAAGAATACATCGGTAGCTCTTTGGTTTCCATGCGATTCTCCATCATCCTAAGCCCTGTATAGCCAGCAGATTCTGGAGATTCCTTTGCAGATTACTACAGGAACTGTAGACAGTTTGCGGTTTGGGGTTCAGGTTCGTTGGTTTCTTGCAAAGTGGTGCAAGATATCCTCCATCCACCGTGGGCCTTACCCTAGAATTGGCCCCTGATCTGGTTATGGACGTGTACGTGCAGGCTAACGTAAAAGCCGTAGTAGTTATCAATGTTAGAGTAATAATGGCAAACCGAACGGACAAGAAAGTGGAAACCGGATTTATACAGAGTTCGTAGGGACTACGTGATGTAGAAGCCTAAAGGATTACCAATATTGTGGTACCAGGTATAAGGTACCTCAAATGGACCTCAACATGATATTGGCTATTATTTGTGCCCCTACATTCCATGATCCGTATAAAATCCTATGTATTCCGAGTCTCCATGCCATTTACCATTCTCTTTGCCATTTGGTTCTCCACTGCTAAACCGTAAAGCGCTTACAGCCTTAACCCTATACATACCGATATGCTTCAGCCATTACAACTATTACCATTATTCCTGTTGTTACCACTCTTAGTAGGATATTCTGTAGAAACCTTATGAACCGTCAATTGGACCAGACATCTTGCGGAACTTCCAGCCTTTGCAATCTGTCTGCGGCCACGAATTTGTGAAGTGGCTACAGCTTTGCGAAGTGGCAAACTCTGAAAAACAGTTCTCTGCCAGGTCAAACCCTACATCAAAAACAACAAAGCCCCAAACCGCTCAAGCCCGAGACCTTGAGGTCAAGAGGCATAGCTATAGACGCCTATGGCCCGGCAATGCAACTGGACAGATGGACTTTGTTTCGTTAGAGCTTGGAGCTTTGAGGCAATTGCTATTCGTACGGATTATTACTACTGTTACTTTACTATGATTACTATTACCATTACTATTATTACTACTAGAAATGTTGGGGTCTTGAGGCCACTGGCTCAGAGCAGGCTGTGTTGCCATGGGCGCGATCGTGCTGTTACACCAATTCCGAGTTTGGGGGTTTCCCAAAATTTCGGCTACCGCGTGGGAGTCTCTATAATAAGGAGTATCGCATTTTGGGGCTGTTTGGTATTCAACCCACTGTGGCACTGTTATGAAGAGGGCCCTTCAAAGTAGCAGGAACCAGGTACCAGGTGCCAACCCTTAACCCCTACTCACCTACTCGGACCTGAAAGACAGGTAAACTAATTGCCGCAAACCCTGAATCTAGCGGCCCCGGCTAACCCCTTCCGCTGCCAAGGGCAGCGCTGCGACGCACCGCGGAGAGCAACGGTATGGCCGCCACTGAGACCAGTTCCGGGGGTTTGGGACTGAGCCTTAATGTAGAAGCTTAAGAAAATACCTAAAGGGGTTCATCGGTTTTCATGGGATTATTCTGGGACATATAGGGATAGGGTTTATGTAAAGGATTCATGTTGCAGGGGCCTAAATAATTAGAATCATCGAGAGTCAAATGGAAAAAGCAACATGGAGAATGAAATGGCAACTGGGATTCTATTGTGCTTTATGGGGATCTGAGTTTATATGGTAGGGTGTGCATGGTTCTTGTTTGGGTCCCTATGATATGAAATAGGACTACTATGCAAGGTACCCAAAGAGGGGCCATGATTTTGACAGCCTGCCATGAGGGTGGCAAAAAAAAGGATCAGTCTTGATGTTCTTGTTGCCACTCTCTTTTGGAATTTTGGCCTTCCTCGTATGGTGGTTACGCAACAGTTTCTTGCCCGGGCGATGCTGGTGCTGAATACTTGTGACCTCGCCGGTTCTTGACCAAATAATGCGCAACTAATGCTCTGGATGCTGGCTGGCTGCTGTACTGCTGATGCTCATGATGCTTGCGGCTTCAGCTTCAGGTAAACCCCAAGCCCTAAAACCCAAAACTCGAAACCCAAAAACCCTAAAAGATCGGAACCCTAAGTTTAATCCTAAACCAGAAATCCTGAATTAGCCCCCAGCCCTAAACCCTCAATCCGAACACGTAAATCCAAGATCCTCAGCTTAAATCCTTAGCGTAAAACGCCAAGATGTATCAGAACTGCGCTCCGAGGACCGACTCGTAGCACTGCAACATTTCATTTGTTCGGACGACCGCGGCTCCTCCGAAATTATCAAGTCACCTTAAGGGTCTTTGGCCAAAACCTTTATAGGGTTATAGAGACATAGGTTAGGTTGGGCCCCCACCCGCTAATAGTGACCACAAAAGGTAATGGTAATTATATTAGGGTCCTTGTATATTCCTAGTATGCCACTATTAGTGGGTGGGGGCCCAACCCAAGACATAGGCATTTCTACGCGTATCTAGGGGTTATACAGGGATACTTTGGGTTTTTATAGGGCTTACGGCTTAGGGTTTAGGGAGGCCGAAAAACAGTTCAAAAAGGATCATATATGGGTTATAGAGTCTTATAGAGGGAGATTGCCTTTATAATGGAGAATCGAAAGGCAAAGCACATGGAAAGTTAAATGGATACGGGGGAAGAAGAATATAGAAGGTGTCGGGATTTCGGGCTTCAGCGTTTAATGTTAGGCTTTAGGGTCTAAAGTTTCGGGAGATTGGCGGAGCGTTGGGGTTTGCCTTTTCGGACATGACTGTAAGCAAGAAGGAGTACATCTGTTTTGTATGCTGTTTTTGGGGTGACCCCGTTTTGCTGGACATGCCCTTCTGAGATTGGGTTTGTGTACTGTGCTGAAGCATTCAACTGGGTTTCATAGGGTTTCACATTGCCTACTACTAGCGACGCCTAAGTGATTACCAACATTATGGTTCTAGATTCATTGTGGAATTACAGTATTCGGTACAATGCCACCTCATACAGACCTCAGCATGATATTGGTAACTGCTGGAGCCGTGTATGAATGAAGGAATGTCACAATCTCAGGAGGCATCATCTTCGTTATTCGATTTTCCGGGAAAGCAGCAGTGGAATACTGAGATTTTGAGCGCCCTCTTTTACAGATTCCTGCATGTTTGCAGGCAAAGGGAAGGGTCAAAGGCAAGGAATGGGGCTTCCTCAAATTTGGAGCGCGCAGAACAACGATAAAGATGCTGAGGCACCAGGGGGCAACATAAAAATATGACATTCTACAAACCCTTAAACGCTGAATCCCACGTGCGACGAACCACACCTGGACCTCCTCACTGCCCAAGGTATTCACAGAGGTTACAGGCAAACATTGGTCTGGAACCCTGAGTCCTAACCAGGAACCTTAAACCCCAAACTTGTAGGTGCTCCCCGGAGGCAAATACGCTTTGACATTTGAGCCGACCGGCTGGCTGAGTCAGCCAGGGTGGCTCGAGTTTTCAGAGGACTGTTGA